CTTGACCGCTGTTTGCGTGATCCTGACAATGTCAAGTGGTGGGCGTAATACGTGGAACAGTGTTATAGCCGGGGCAGTATGTGACAAGGACTGCCCGGTAATTGCCATAGCGGCGCGAAACAAATTGTAGAACGTGGTCGCGTACAAGCCGCGGAATAAACAGAGTTACAACCAGGCCGCTTTAAACGGCGTCTGACAAATACACGCGTTTAGATGAAGCGCTTCTTACTTATAGTGCGCTTTACGAACAAAGTAATACGATGATCTCAACTAAATAGCAAGACTAGTGCTAGCGGTACACTGCACATCGTCTGAGGCCGTAAAGCTATCCTTAGAGCCGGTATGGATTAACTAATTGGCCAGTTATAGAGTAGGAGTGTGCATCATGAAATTTGGGATGCACACCGCTAATCGAATGACCGCAGTGTGTCGTCATTTACATGGACGTCGTGTAACCTTTGCCTTTTTATCGCAGTCAGCTATATTGCGCGAGTGGCAACAACTCGTGTGCGTCACAGCTATCAGTGATTGGCTCTGTAGCCACACTGGCTGCATGCAGTTTTGTTACACCTTCGGGGTGGCAACAACCCGTCTGCATCACAGCTATGAGTGATTGGCGTTCTAGCCACACTGGCTGCATGCGTTTCGTTACACCTTCGGGGTGGCAACAACCCGTCTGCATCACAGCTATCGGCTGTATGCGTGTCGTCGTGGGGGTTCGACGAAAGAGGCCCTGTGGCGACCAGCGTCCCTGACGCGTTGGTCGACGGGCTGTCGTGGTGAGGCGACGAAAGAGGCCCGGTGTTAACCAGCGTCCCTGACGCATTGGTCGTGACACGTGGCGTTTCGACTCGTAAGCACGGTTCTATTCGCATCGTATGTCAAGAATGCGGGTAGAAAATTACAGACATGTACATCCCAAGTACGTGTTTGGCCTTGCGCCTTACTACCAAGTGGCTGTGGAGGAAATTTCTCGACCACGGTATAGTAAGGCTACCAACGGGGGGTTAAAAAAATAAACGGGGTCTCCTATGTCAAAGGACTGAACCCTTGCGCGCCTACCTTAAGGGCGCTTACTTCGCACGTGTGCCACTCTAGTGTCACGCTGCATCGCAAAGTTTGCTCGGTGCTAGCGTACAGTAGCGTGAGTTACTGGGTTGTGAGCGTATGAAAATCGTCATACCATCCCTGCATGTAAATTGCTCCGACGTCGTAGCCGGAAGCGTCGCAGGGTAGCTAGTCTGTGTCTCGTCTGACCACACAAAGGGTTCGTCGTTGTTGGTGTGGTCGAGCGTCAGTGTGAGGGGGGTCGTGATGAAGCGTAATGAACGTGAGGCCCACTCGGCGTGAGGGTTGTGAGGCCCCAGCGTCGGGTGAAGGCAGTACCACTTGGTGTATGGGTTGTGAGGCCATATCGCCAAGTGGTGATGAGGTGGTGGGTATGATTGATGAGGTATGAAGTGACATCGGCGCAGGCGCGTCAGAAACAACCGAGAAAGCACGTCTGCTTAAGCGTTGTAATGGCCGCCTCGCCCGTTATGGCCGTATGGCCGTAATGGCATGGCCGTAATGGCCGTAATTGTCCAGTTGCCATGAAACAGATGACTGATTCATCAAGGGCGACGGGACCTGTGGCGCGGACTGTGCAATGAACGTGCGCAAACTGCGCACCTCTCTAATGAGATCGGATGGGGTAGGGCGTTGTATCGTAGTCATGTCTATAGGTTCGGTCATGTCAAAGGCGTCACTACGGTTGTGTCGTCGTGTCACCAGAGATTACGCGAGTACGTGGTCGTCAGCCACAAGGTGGATAGCGTAAGTTAGCATAGTAGAGATATGATGAAGCAACAGTCTCAGTCTCTGTGGGTGAACTTGTTGTCGTCCGTCTAAAAAAATTTGTCGGCTAGGCGGCTCTGTTTTTCAGCCGTTAAAATTCGATGAGGTGGTATCGCTTGCAATGCGAGAGCGAAGTAATCTGTCATGTCGTGGGGTGAGCAAACACGGGTCGCATGTGTGTGATAAACTAGTGCACGTAGCGCGGAGAGCGCAACACTCGCACAGGACGCGCATAAGTCAGAAATCGACGACATTAATGAATTACATGCCCTAACACGGCAATTGTTAACTTAGACATAATGAGGCCTAAATCTAAACCGGCAGAAGATTAGCTTTACTCACCCAGCCGATCGTATGGCGGTGTTCAGTCTGCAGCGGTGGATGAAAACGTAAGGTTGCTGATGACACGATGCTATCGTTGATGATTCGGCACGTGATACGTATAGTAGATAGCATTGCGGGATGCCCACGATAACCACTAGCAACTAGCGACTCTCACTCGCACCAAATATGTAACACATCCTTTTTACGTTACTATGTTATCTGTGAATTAGAGTTTCTAATGTTATGTGCGTATAGCCAAAGGCATAGACAAAAGCCAGATGTTATAATACCATGACTCGTAGTTTACTTGTGGTTCGTACAGTTACAGTGATTTGAACAGTTACACAGTGCTGTCGTGGTTGCTTCTGGTTGTCGGGAGATTCCCCGATTTTCCTTGCGCTCCGCCTTATATACACAGGCACGACCGCGAACCACGCATGCGCCACGCATGCGCCGTCCATACTCCCGAGCTCTTGGGCTCGAGTTAATTGTATTATTGACCTCCTCGGAGGATTCTCTGCCACTTCAAAGGCGGCCGCTAATCCCATTACCGGGCCTCTTCGAGGATCCTCTCGGACCTCAAAGACACCCGCTAACTGCATTACCGGACTCCTCCGAGGATTCACCATTGTTAAGGGGCACCGGCGCCATAGTTGAAAGGCGCCGGCTAATTGGCTAAGTGCTGCCTAATTGCCTTCCCGCATTTATACTCATCATGCAGATCAGTATTACAACCAAACAATGGAACGAGTAGTATCCAAAAATCACTATTCACTTTGAACTGCGCCCACAACAAAGTCCTTAAATCTCTTTGGTGCTATTCGCACGCGCACAGGTCTCTTCGGGTTCATCACTTCTGCTGGAGCTTCGGTTGCTAGATTCCCCGCCTCTGGTATCTCATCTGGTACGATGTTGCTGTCCTCATCATACTCGGCGAGTGGGCTAGCTGGTCGCTCGTTGTACTTCTTTACGAAAGAACTGTTTCTTTCGTACCTCACTCCTTGTGGTGATTCAACAATAACTTTGTTCCCCGTCTTGCTGACTAACGTGTAAGGCTCAGATTCAAACGTTGTCGAGAGTTTATTATCCTTCTCCCCTCTGAGTAGTACCCTTTCGCCTGGCATTAAGGTACTGGTCTGTGCCTTCCTTCTCTGGTCAGCATACTCTCTCTGTCTCTCCTTTTTCTCAGAGTCGTGATCCCTCACACCTTCATCCATAAAGTTACGTTCCTTAAACTCAGGTAATTTAGTCCTGATGTTTCGCCGAAACATCAGTTCGGATGGTGTGACACCTGTCGTGGCATGTGGTGTCGTGCGCTGCTGCATGAGGAATTTCTGCACTGCTTGCTGCATCTTTTCACCTTCAACTTGGCTGATTTTGAGTCTTTTCAGCAATGATCTGTTTTGGCGCTCAACCTCTCCATTGGCCTGTGGCCATAGAGGTGTTTTCCGGCACAATTTGATGCCATTGTCCTTGCAATATTGCCTGAACTCAACAGACCTGAACTGTGGCCCGTTGTCAGATGAGAGTGTCACTGGGAGACCGTGTGTCACAAACATTCCCGCCAGTGCCTCAATTGTTTTCTCAGAGGTGGTGCTCCTCATGAATGCAACTTCAAAGTATCTACTATAGTAATCTACCACTACTAGCAGACTTACTCCATTTGGTAACGGTCCAAGAAAATCCACTGCCACATCCTCCCACGGTCCCTTGGGCATTGTTGTTCGCGACATAGGCTCAGGTGCATTTGGCATACCAACAAGTTGGCAGCTGTGGCAAGCACGGCATTGGCGTTCAGCCTCTTTGTCGATATTCGGCCACCACAGTTTGGTTCTCAACAGTTGCTTCATGGCCACAATGCCTGGGTGCCCCTCATGAGCTAGTTCAATCGCCCATGGTCGCAGTTTACATGGCAGGACGATTCTCCTATCACGCAGCACTACATTGCTAACCACACATATTTCATCTCGCAAATGTTTGTAGCCTGCTGGGTACATCCCTGGCTGACTCTTCTTCGATCTCTTGTGTCGTCATAGCTTGCGGTGTCGCTGCTTTAGTGACAAACTGAACATATTCTTCAGCCACGTTCTTCTGTGCTTTTGCGACTTGTGTTAACCGAGATAACGCATCAGCAATGTTATTCTTCCCCTGGTTTGTACACAACATCGAACACGTATGGCTGCAAGCGTAATACCCATCTTTCGATTCGAGCAGATGGTTTCGATTTGGCTGAATAGATCACTTCCAGAGGCTTGTGTTCTGTAACTAGTTTAAACGTGATGCCATACAAGTACGTATGAAACTTCTCACATTCCCACACTAATGCTAGCGCCTCCTTCTCGGTTTGCGAATACCTGCGCTCTACATCGCTGAGACTGCGGCTGGCATAGCTCACAACTCTGGGCTCTCCGTCCTGTATTTGAACCAGTATCCCGCCAAGACCGACAGGTCCTGCATCAGCTATGACCTGTGTTTTCTCCCCTTGTCTGAAGTAAGCCAATGTTTCGTGATTGGCCAACCGACGTTTCAGTTCTTGGAACGACTTGATCTGTTCCGGGCCCCATTTGAATTCTTTGCCTTTTCTGGTTAGTCTCCTCATCGGTTCACTCACACTAGCAAAATCCGGGATGAACCTTGCACTGAAGTTGACCAGGCCCAGGAAACTAAGTACTTCCGCTGCGGTTTTAGGCTCCCTAGCGTCCACTATGGCTCTGACCTTTTCTTCTGTTGGACCCACACCTCTGGTTGACAACAGAAGTCCCATGAATTCTGTGCCAGGTTAAACTTGCACTTGTCCTTATTTAAAGTCAGTCCACGCTCATTCAATCTCTTCAGTACACTCAGCATGCATTTATCATGTTCTTGTGTATCTCCATGAACGATAATGTCGTCGTCTTACTGGCCCCGCATCCGGCCAGAACCTGTTCTAAGACATGCTGATATTTCTCCGGTGCTGCCGATATCCCGAACATGAACCTTTTGTACCGGAATAATCCAGCATGCGTTACGAACGTTGTTATGTCACGTGATTCCGGGTTCAACTCCACTTGGTGATATCCCCATTTTACGTCGAGTTTGCTGAATACCTTGCTGTTGTTCATCTCATGTAGCACCTCATCCACGGTTGGTATGTAGTGGCGCTCACGGATGATCGCTTTATTTGCTTGCCTCATGTCGACACACACTCGAATGTCCCCGTTCGGCTTCGGTACTACCACCAATGGGCTTACCCAGCGCGTCGGCCCTTCTACACGCTCGATGATATCCATGTTAAGCAGTTCTTCCAGTTTCTGGTCGATTTTGTCACGGAGCGCAAATGGAGCTCTCCTGACAGGTTGAGCCACTGGTTGTACCGACTCATCGATATGTAGTTGTATTTGGTAATCTGTTAGCTTACCAACCCCTGTACAGCATTTTTCAAATTCCTTCTCAATGCTGTCACTTGCTATTGTGTTTATATTCAGTCCCACTTTCAGCACACCGAGTTGCTTTGCAGTTTTCTTCCCTAGTAATGGCTGTCCACTTCCTTTCACAACCATGATCTCTGCATTCACCTGTGTATTTTGCACTACTGCTGTGCACTGAAATGTACCAATTACAGGTAATGGAACTTTAGATCCATATGCGAAGAGTTGTTTCGTACATTTCTGTGACGCACACTTGATCCGCTTTTCTTTCAGCTGCTCCCACAAAGACTGGCAGATGATGTTTGCACTGGCACCAGAGTCAATAACCATTTTCACTGGTACCCCTCCCAACTGGACTTTACCTCTCTTCGGCTTCCAGGAGTCCGACGTCCTGTCACTAGATTTACACATTTTTGCATAATGGCCATAGTTCGAACATTTACGACATTGTTTGCCTTTAGCCGGGCAAGTTACATCTTTGCCGTAATGTCCACTTTGTCCACATCTATAACACACACCTTGGGATGGTCGCAGTGTCTTCCGATACACCCGGTCCTTGTCACCTTTAATCGGTTTATCCCTTTGCGGTTTACCCGTTACTCTATGGACAGTCTCATTTGGTCGCATTTCTTCCAACTGAGTCTCCACAGCTTCATAGGCACAAGCAATCTCCTGCAATTTTGCCAATGTCAGCTGTTTTCCCGTTTGTAGGAGTTTCCTACGCAGACTTGTGGACCCATATGTATGGATAATATGGTCCCTGATTTGGTCATCCTCATCTATAAATTCGCAGTTGGCAGCCCTCTCTCTCAACCGTGTGATGTAGCGGCTTATAGGCTCATTTGCCTCTGGCAGTAGCCTCTTAAACATATGTCTCTCGAACGGCACGTTAACTTGCACCACAAGATGCTTTGACAATATTTCAACGGTCTCTTTAAACCTGTTTCTCACCACTACCGGCGCTGCTCCTTCACCTCCACCATCTCCTGTTTCACCAGCAGATTGGTTGACAGTTGTCTCTCCATCCCCTTCTTCTTCCTCCTCGGAGTCTTCTGGGTGTAGGGTGTCATATAAATCTTGTAACCTTCGATCGCCACATTTCAACAATAAGTCTCTTTTCTGACCGTCATCAGTGATACCTTTTGCATTAGCGTACCGCCTGAAGGCTTTCAAATACTTTTGCCATCTGGGACCAACACTGGAAGGATCTCCCGCCAGATCAAACTCAGGAAATAATCCTATATCCAGCTGTTTCAGGGAAGACATCTCGTCAGCTGTAGCTTGAGTTGTCAGTCGAATTTAATCTTTTATCCTCGTCGCCATATGTAACGTTTACTGTGTTATATTTCCAGATTAAACCAATAACACTGCTTTGTCTTACTGCTGTTTATTTACCCGCCATAATAAGAGTCTCGATTTCAATACCTCATCTCCTACATCAACTCCATTTACCGACTGTAATTATTATGGCACAATTGGAACACTAAATATATGGATGGGTTATACACTACACGTCCTAATTAGTGGCAATTAATCTCAAGTGATTGTCAAAACAGCTTGATATCTGCATCGGGCCGGTTATCAAAGCTGTCGCATTAGGTTAGGTTAGTATAAAGATTTTGAGCAAACTTCGAAACGAAAGAATCGGTTGGTGTGAAACGGGGCACCATCCTGTGGCCTACAGACTCCTATTGATAGACTCCTGGATAGACTATTGATAGACTTCTGATAGACTCCTAGAATATTGATAGACACCTGCTAGTATGCATAACCAGTTCAAGTGCAGCGTGTGACGTGTACGCATGTTGCTTGCGCGCGGAGACTGTGTAACCTAGCTGTTTGACAAGTCGACAAGACGCCCTCGCACACCGTTACTGTTATGGATGTTGATATATGCACCAAGAGGTGGCGCCACGAGTATGCGTGGGGACTCGGGGTGCTGGAGAGTATGGTGGAATAAACGAGTTGCACTACACAACGTGTCGATTGTGTCTTGAAGAGAGTTCTTTATAAATGAATAACGACTAGGCAAACATGGTGTCAGAAGTGGAGCCAGCACTCGTAGACACGAGGCATTAAGAGAATAGGGACTGAAATGATGAGAACTATGAGTAATTGGAGGAATCATGGAGAAGGCTCCAGTGCCGAGGCAGTGACAATTTTCCCGCCAAAATAGCGGTGACAAAGGATTTGGCGAGTCTCACACTCACAGGGGAGATGCAATGTGGAGATATGAAGAGCCAAGATTCGATGGAGTTTCAGGGTCGTACATATGCAAAGGACATATGAACACTGTATGAGTCAGATTCTATAATAGTCCGGCAGAATAGGGCATATGGTTTGCATGGAGGTATATCGTTTTTCTTACGTTCGTTTTCTCATGTTCTTGCACCAAATAAGGCATTTCTAACAACTGGCAGTTGCTCAGTTGTGGGGAATTTTATTTAATGTAGATTTATCCAAAACCGCATCATAAACTTGAATTTGGATTAAATAAAGCCTAGTGTCCAATAATGAGATGCCAATGCATGTAAAAATTATATTATACCATCATTTACAGATTTTGAAATAGTTGTAGACTAATACAAGCATAAACGTCTGTGATTAGGCATGAAAATTGGTTTACCGTTAAACCTTCCCTCATGTCAAACACGCAAAATCCACGAAAATGTATTTTATAGGTTACCTACAATTTACATTTTCTGGTACTATTTCAAAACAAAATCAGTTGGCTTTAATCGTCCTCCTCCTCCTCGTCATCAAAGGCTTCGTGTTGGACGACTCTAGTTTGTTCATTACAACATGCAGCACTGCCCTGACAATTGCAAAACATTGTACACGCCAGTCTACCAATGTTACAACCACAGCCCTTGGACTTGGTTGCACTGCACGGACTCTCCGAAAAACAAGAACACTA